CTTCCGATATCTGAAAAAAAAAACTGTCAGGCTTTTTGCGAGCAGGACGCGTTTTGTTCAGCTGTCATCCTTATTTGCTGCGCACACTGGGGCGTTCCAGGAGGGCTGCGTTTGGCGTGGCGCCAGCCAGTTTTCCACCACTTGTGGTCGCCTAGGAGCTACCACCATTTTCGGAGAACAGACCAGCGACAGCGGAAAGCCCATCCCCCCTGAAACGCTCCAGCGGACAAGTTGCACAGCACTTGGAAAACGAGTTGATCATCGACTGTCGGTAAACAATTTCTGCCGTTTTCTAAGGTGGTCGTGGAGATGGGTGGGAGGGGGGGGGTCACCATAACACGAAATTACGAAGACTTATGACCAAAACTACAACTGTTTATGTAGCTCATTCCCTGCTCCTTGTTTTTGTGTTGCAGTGCCCCCATCAAGCACCGTACCCTTGTAGGCACATTCTGAAAGGTGTCTCCTTCTCATATAAAATGTGCGCAGGTTCGCCACCACATAGGGCGCACCAGAGTCCGAATAGTTCCGCAGGTCCAAAATGTGTGGCAAGGTTGCTAGGGACTTGCGATACATGTAAATCTCCGCCCGTCGATTTGAGCGACCGCCCATCGCGTGACTGTTGTTCTTCTTGCCCGCCCTCATCTTGCGCTTATGTATACTCCTATCCCACAGTTGAAGAGTCGGTAACTGCGTACCTCGTTTCAACGTGACAGTAGCAGCCTTCTGAGGGATATTGCAGCTTCAGAACAATGAACCATGACTTTGTCCAATACAATATACGATAACACTTTCTCAAATAGAAATATCCACGTTCAAATGAAGCACGCAGCCACGCCCACTCCATCTTTGGTATAAGCAGTGTACCCTATCTTCAGCACATTCTTCGGCCTCTCGCCCGCGCGCTCACTGCCACTTCGCCCCTGGTTCCTTTGCATGCGCTTGCGATTACAGAATCAGAGCTCCATTCGGTACGCTTCCATGTTTCTTCTACCTTTTTCTCAATGGCAAGTCGACGAGCATCTACAAACTCATAATTAGACCCCATTAACCACGACATGGAAGTACAAAATGAGTTTTCCCAAGTAAACTCCAGTTGAAGCAGGCGAAAAGTGCGCTGTTTCTCTTTAGCAGTAATAAGCTGGGTGGAAGAGCTTTTTACCTAATGGAAAAAAAGTTTGAAATAATCCCAAAGTGAAACCTGTGGTACGGTATGATATGGTAGCAAAATAAGTTAGTAAAAACTGAAGGGAGAAGGCATATAAAAAAACAATGCAGTTGGAACGCACACACTGTACAGCTCTTCCAGAATCGGCTCGAACTTTTGGGCGCTGGCTCGTCGAGGATCAGACTCTTCTGTAAAAGTAATCTTAGGCAGTAATGGATTCGGTAAAATAACTTGGAAAACTGAAAGTAAAATAATATTTATCGATAAAATTACCTTTAAATACACATACAATAAGAATGCGCAGTGCATAGATAAAAGTTGAGGAAACTGTTGCATATATTTTGAAACAACCTGCAATCAACAGGCATTTATTACATTGAAAATATTCCTATGCATCTAGTTTACTTACCGTGGACTAACTGAAGAAACTGCGGCAAATAGCTGGCGCTATGCAGCGCTAGCGCTTCTATACCACTCGTAACTACAGGCAACAAATGTGGCGAAATATTCATCACAGTGAATGTCTCACAGGTTCTCTTAAAAAAAGTATAGAAACGTTAATGATCTCATGACTAATTATTAAAAATTGAAAGAGAACTTAAAAAAAACAGCTGGTACTATACACCCTTCACGACCCTGCTATTCGAAATTTGAGGTGGATTTTCATCTGTACCTGTATTTTGGACAATATTCTAGCGCAGACTTATCTGCAGAGGTGGTTCGACCACCAGACCACGAAGACCAGCACATCGGCTTGGCGCCGGCTCAAAAACATTTCAATGACCAAGTTCCCTGAAACCTGTTGCTAGGGGTGTAGTTTGACCCCTTAGGACCCGGAATTCATATTCGCTCTGCGCGTCGAGGGTTGTACAGTGTTGTTCGCTGCGGAAGAAGGGGTGTGTCGGAGCGAACGGGTTCGGCGTGGCGCCACATCTGTTCTCCACCAGTTGTTGGAGCGTGTAAGCGATAACTCTTCGTTGAAAGCAACTGATGCAAACAAGCTTGTTCTCTACTACAGCTGTACAACTGGTAAAAAAACGAGTCGGCGCCGCGTCAAAGCTATCCCGCCTGACATCCGCCCAGCGGATCAGGCCTCGGCCCTGGTTGTGGACAAGAGTATCGTACAATTCACCGCCGCTGGTGGGGCGTCGCGTTGCAACGTCGCGCCGCGCGACAACCCATGCCAATTCAGAACCGAAGTCAGCTCTTTTTTTTATGTATGTCTACGCATGACGGGCGGTCTACATAAATTTCCGGCGCTCCAAACGACAGCATCCGTTAACACGACCTTAAAAAAACGCCGCGCCCATCGCGCGCGCCGGCCGTAGGGCAAAACTACGATTTCTCTTCCCGTCTCCCCTGTATGCCTCAGTGACAACATGCTTAGAAAATTCCTTGCCCACAATTACTGTTAAGAACAGCGCCGAAAGAGGAACTGCTAGCTGTCAGAACGGTTAATCAGGAAGAATAGCTTCAACGAGCGTTGGCATTGTCTTACAAGTTTTTGGGAATAGAAACAACTAATCTCTTCTAGGAAAGAAATCTCTCTCTCAAAATGTGGAGTAATTAACTAATCACCTGAATTAATGTGTTTTTAAATGAAACTTGTAAAGGCTCTTCCATAATTCGCGAACGCATGCAGACCAAATGAGCGTTCGCCGAGTAGTCGATGGAAGTCATCATTCTGGAAGCGTGGGCTTTTTTATTCCAATTGAAAAATTTTATATACAGCTGAAATCTCGTCATCACTGAAATATCGTCATCACTGTAGATTAGCGTCATTAACAGGATTTTAGAGGCTGAAAACTACCAAGCATCGCGAGCTTTCGTCCTATTTTTCAATTCCTTTTCGCTTGATGCGACACATTCAACTTCCAATCTAGAAACGTGAAGGCGTAATGATTTCGAGAGGGCTATACAATGACTGGGGCACGGGGTGGAGGGAGGGGGGAAAATGTCAGCCGATGTTCAATTTAGTGTTTTTTTGTTCCCACAGACGCAATCTGCCCTACCAAATATTACTGTATTTACTGTCTTCAGCAGGTCAAAGACTTGTATGGCAAGACGAGCGGTCGACCCGGTGTATGACCCCGAACCTCGCGCGTGGGGACACTTTTCGCTGCACCACCTGGTTCATATCTCAAAGGGTTAGGCAACAAAATATTTCGACCGAATAGGCAGATCGACTGCCAAAACAGGGTATCATCAAGGCTGTGTAAAAAAAGATAAAGATGGCGTTAGTACAACCCACTTACTAAGGGAAAGCAAGTTTCCCATTCGACCTTCTTTTTCAACACACCTACCGTTACGACCCCCAGCACATTTACCTTTTACCAAATTTATACTGCAAGGGCCAGAGAGATAGGATAGACACCTTCAAGCACTGTACTATGATAGTAAACTGGGCGCGCCCACCGAATAGGTGTATAGCGCGACACGCATGAGAAAAAAACTTTCCGCGCACTTGATATACGACCCCATCCCTGGTCGGGCTCGCAGTATTATGAGTATACGCTGTTGGAGAGGAAGTTCACAGTGGAACGTTGGCTCGATCAGCTTCAAAGCGCCTTGGCGCACGATGGCGCTGGCGGCGAGTTTGTTGTCATAAACACCAGTAAGTCGGTAGTTGCGCAAGGGGTTAAGTTGGGGGTTGCGCCAGACGTCCTTTTATACCAATGACCAGTCGGCTCGCCGGCTAACGCCGAGCGTGCCTCCCTTCTGATACGCCCGCTGCGCCGGCGGCAGCGCGGCTATCGCCGCCGTCCGTATTTTCTATTCCACATATCTTCTACACTCAACTGCATATCACGCCTTATTTGTTTCTGTACTGACTTTTTCTGGCTGTCTGAAGTACTCTTTGCAGCTACTATTACAGCCTTGTTCGCATCTGACTCCGCATCACCTTCGGCAAGCAGGCTCCGCCCACAATGCTTTGTCGCCCAAAGTCTTCACCGCACGCACCCTCTGCTGACCTTAATCCACTGTATTCCGGTCTTCGGAAAGCTCTGGAACCGTTTTGCCGATCTTTTGTCTGGCTCCGCCCACCTCAGAGCAGGCTCCGCCCACAATGTTTTTGCCCCACAATCCCCACCGGCGACCCTCTGCTGACCTTAGACCACTTTTTGCGGTGTCTGGAGTGTTCCTAGCTGGAACCGAGCTACAAACTTTTAAAATGAATACCCTGCGATTTAGGGCAAGCTCCGCCCACTGTGGGCGGGTCTCAACACACTTTGAGCGTGCCCTATATTCGCCAGATATTTACATTCTACAGTGAGTCTCCTTTTTGCGGACGTGTTCCAAAACACTGTCTCGCGAACGGGTTTACTGAAATTTTTTGCGCGAAGCACCGCCCACCTTGAGTACGCCCCGCCCATTTTGGATGTGTCTGCCACAGTTAGTCTGGCGACTCCTTACTAACCTTATTCTCTTTTTTCCCCATCTTTAAGCTGCTCCGGAAGCGAATTATGAACATTTTTCTGCGGAACCCCAAACTTTCAGCGAGTGCCCCGCCCACTGTGGGCGGGGCTTCCCATAGGTCAAGTGTGCTTTTTATTTCTTGTCCCATGCCCTACCCATCCCCACCTTGACCCGACCTCTCCAAGTCGTTCTTCAGGTCGAACCGAATTTCCGGACAGACAAACTTACAAACAAACAAACAAACTTACAAACAAACAAACAAACAAACAAACAAACAAACAAAGCAAATTATATATATGGGGTGATACTTGCGCAACAACCGGCCCGCCTCCAGCTCAATCGTACCTCACTAGGCCTTTCAGCTGTAACATTATTCCCTCCCAAATGACAACTCCAACATTAGATCGCTTTGCTCTATGGGAAAAGAACGAGCTTAACAGGTTCAAACTACAGGTCAATTAGCCGCAATGACGTCTATCCTAGTCGCTTTTCAGCACTGAACGAGCAGGCGATAAAGAGAAATGCAGGGCTACTCAGTGAAGACCAGATAATCGCATCTGACAACTCAATAGCCGCCCAATTAACAGGGAGAACAGGGGGAAAAGCAAATAATGCCATACAGTATTCATGCGTTAATGGGCATCGGTACTTGGGATGGGCGGGGCTTGTTCCCGGTGCAGACCTCTGGCGCTCATGCCAGGAACTTAACTAACAAACAGTTCACAGTCTGAGTGACTGCAGAGCTGCGCTCTTTACATGCGAGAAGTATCTTCCTCTCCGGTAATTATAGGATTCTTTTATGCTTTTTTAAGTCCATCAAGTTCTTTCAAAAAATCTTTAGTGTGTTTTCTTAGTGTAAAAAATATTTGAAAAATTTCGGTCAAATTAAGAACCAATAATAACAAAGCTCACGCGACGACATGGATCGGATCCGTTACTGCAAGTTGTTTACCAGTTTCCTCTAATAAGAAAGATGTGACGTATTGAACTACTGGCTTCAGGGGATCTAGGGTCATGGACTGCATGAGGTAAATGAAACCATGTAACGTCGCCTCACGAACAAAGGGATAATCCGACGTTAACCCATATTCAACCTGAATATTTAGCATTTATTGCTGATATAAGAAGAAAAAGAGGTCATAGCCAACCCAAGAAAGAATTTGCTTTGCCAAGTCAGCCTCAGTCATGCCACGAGACGCAGTTTCGAGTCCAATTACTGTGACAGCCTTCAGCATGCTGTAAATGACATAGGAAATGTCCGGATGCCGATCAAGGTGACCTCAAATAGGACAATGTCAATAAATGTTAGTAACGCCCAACTTTACAAAGTGTGCACTGGAATGACAATATGCCAGTATCAGGAAATACCTCCACGGAAAATGCTCCTCATTTGCAAGTAGAGAAACTCGTAAGAAGCGGAATCATCAAACAAGTCCGACAACAATGCCATCTGGAATATCATTATTAGTAACATCAATATTGCAAGCAAAAGCACCGAAACAAAGTCTCTTGCAGGAGAGTTCACAAAGGCACTCCGGTCGTAGAGCGCATCATGAAAACATACACTCTAGTTCGCTGCGGACGGTTGGGCGTGTCAGCCAGTATGAGTGTGTCACCCCGTCAAAGCCGTTCTCTGCCTTCTTGTTGAAACGCGCATGCGACAAAAAGTGGTAGAAAACGAGTAATACGAAGGATATGATACAGTATTGTCACTTGCCCGCTTCAACAACTGGTGGAGAACGAGTTTGGCACCGCGCCAAACGCAGCCGCACTGACACGCCCAACCTTCCGCAGCGACCAACACTATAGATGCTAGAGTAAATGGGCACTTGGTACATTTGCTTTGGGCACTCGTTTCAATCATAGTGTTCTCTGAGTCCGTGGAACCGTGCATGAGAGACCACAGTGCCCCTGACGATCAAGGGGTCGAATAATGGATCCCAGTGAGGTTGTCTAAACAGCTGGATGGTTGTGTGACCTCTCCCGTAACAGCTTCAGTTTTCAGAAACCTATACATTTGAAAACTGCACTACTACTTCCGCAGGCTTTCGTAGGTTCGTCTTTGTTAATGTTCACTTTCCGTTGGACGTGAAGACAATTTTACAGGCCTGAGCTCGGTTGAAAAACATTTTTTGAAATTTGAGAATCTCGGGTCCTTCACTACCCAGCCAGACCGTGAGAGGTAAGCTCCGACAATACGCATCAAGAGTGGAGTGTTCCACGTTTCCCTGTGAACGGAAAACAGTGCCGGTTACTGTATACCATTTTTCGATACTGCTCATCCTTTGCTCCACTCCTTAAACTCAGGCCACAATTTGAAATTAATCCCGGGTCAGATCTTGTTGATCTTCGTCCCTTGTGGTAGTCTGCCCCCCCTCACCAAGGATGTCACATCTAGCTGAAGAGAAAATGGTTGACAACAGCGCCTTAGGTGAGCTTTGGCTCTGATTTTCGTACCACACGTACCAGAAGCCTTCGCGCTAAATGATGTTACATTCGTGTTCAGGAGAGCACAACGCTTCGGGCAGAAAATTCCAGCAAGACACGGGGTCAAATATTGTGTCCTAGCCTGGCCTAAACTAGGAGGAGTGGGACATTAAAGAGTAAATAGTGCCCTTGTCCAATAAAGTATAACTTTTATAACATCGCTATCACACGGGCGATTTCAGTGGGGAAGGAATGGGTTTATCCGCAGCTTCCCCAGCACTGATTGTTCTCTTCCTATTCAATCTCCAACCAATTACTGTTCCAGCAAGACAGCCGGGGCGGGCTCATTCTGACCGTCCTGACACCGCCCCGACTGATTGTGATGATATCAAGTAAATGTTCTTCTAGTTAAACAACACTTACCGACTTGACAGTTGCACATAGAAGTGGCAGAGGGAGATATTCAATGCCACGAGCGAACCAGTGTGAGAAATTCTCAAACAGAGCACGCACTGATGAAGCTGTGTCGAGTTCACACGTGGTCTTCAGGATGAACTCAGAGAGTGAAACTCGCATCCGCTGGAAATCGCTTTAGAATGAAACATTTTTGGAACTCATTTCCTCCGGTGTTCTACGGAGTACCCGTCTTCAGCCACGTATCATACTTCGAACCACGAAACAGTGGACCATAGATTTTTACATTCCGAGGTTAACCTTACCGAGTCTTTCGTAAGCTGCTGTGGATTTTCCTCACTGAGAACGCCTGTCAAAGTCCAGAGCGACAATGCGGACAGCTGTCCAAGTCCGTACATTTCACCCTGATAAGAGAATTTCAGTAAAGCTGAATGATCCGGATACAATACTAATAAGGAGAACCATAGATAAAACCATAAAAAAATATGTATCTCGATGAGAATCACCTTATCGTTGAGCCTTTCGATATTTCTGCGATATGCCTGCGGTGGTTCAAGATCACCAGTTAATCTTGCTTTCAGCTTACATAGTATCTGCATGGATCTGAGAATATGAATGATCAAAAGCTGGAATAAAAAATTAAAAAAAAAATTAAAAAATAAATATCCTACTTTCTGAGGTGTGAGGCGCATTTATTCGCAAAGTCATCGAAACGCAACAACACACGCGGCTAGATTCGAGAGACAGAAAAAGCGTTTTGCCTTCTTTGCATTTTGCCTTTTTATTTGGTGTTCCAGCACTGCTTACTCAAAGGCAGTGGGCACGATTTCTGCGGGCGGGCGCTTGCCGCCAGCGTCATTGGTGGAGGGGTGGTGTGGTCCAACGCCCTATCGCAGCCCTTCCACCAATGACGCTAGCAACGACTGTCCGCCTATTGCAGTTCCCACTGTTTTTAAGTGGATATACCTGATTATTAGTCAATCGATAAGTGATAGAGCTCCAACATAAATCTGTGTAAGGACCATGAAACAGCGATCTACTGACATAACCATTTGCAATTTCAGGAGAGTAGCTGTTCACAAGACTAGTCGTAATGTAAAAATAAATGTGCAACCAAAAAACGCTTTTTCTCCGCAACCGGCTCATAGATCGGCTGAAGGCGAAGGCGGCTCCGAAAAGGGTGCGCCTGCATATCCCGCAGAAAAGGAGGTAAGCAGAAGCATAATATCATTAACTATGGGCAGTAACAATGGCTAAACATTGTAATGGCGTGTCTCAAAAAACATCAATGACCAAAAAGATCCAAGAACGGGTCCTTAGAGAGAAGGTGCCCAATCCCACGTAATTTGCTCCAGGACAAGTCTGCTGTTGAAAAAAATTCCTCAGAAGTACGACCTCCGTTCCTCTCAAAAGTTCCTCCTCTGGTGCGGTATGAGTTTCCGGCCCAGTCCTCCCCTCCCCCTTCCGCTCCCCCCCTCCCCCGCCCCCCCAAAAAAAAAATGCCGAACCGAGCGAGGGTTAGCACGAGCAAAGGCAGGAAAAAGCCAAGGAAAGTCACCAAAGCCAAGCATTCATTTTTCTCAGAAGCAAAACGATCTTCCCCTTGGGAGTCTCCATCGTACGACGCACCCTGATTTTCCTCCATTTACGGTTTTTCAAGAAAAAAAGGAGTTGCCATTTTGTATCTTTTTTTTTCAGCCTGTGTCAATTTACAGATAACGTTGTTTACAAAATGTTCGTTACTATGACCAAGCGATGACGTTTAAAAAAAAGAGAAGCAAAAACAGATTTCCCTCACTTCGATTGATAGAAAGGATCGTTCGAGCTGGGAGGAGGTGGGGATAGCACGATGTTTGATTACAAAACGGCCAATGGGCGGATTACCAGGTTCCGGATATAAAAGACTATATAGCAATATATCTGTGAGCACTGATACAGCAACGCTACTTGACAGTATTTGTTCAGAAAGATTCTGCAATAAGTAAATATTACTCGTTGGAGCAGTTCTCGACAGATGACTACACTTACAGGTGAGGTACTTGAGGTCAATTCAGTTCCCGTTGGCGTCGATGAAAGCACACCGAAAAGTGACATCCAAAAATCTTCAAACTGTTGACGGGAAATCCAGCCAAGCCTTAAAACAATATTTCAATTACAAATTCATAAAGCTGACTGAAGTATCAAATTTTATCCACGTACTTTGTACTCGAGATATTTTTCTATCCGTACTCACACACCTATGGCTTCCAGAGTACAGTCTAGTTCGCAGCGAACGCTGGAGAGCTCTAGGGAGGCTGGATATGACGAGGCACCAGCCTGTTCTCAACCAACTGTGGAAGCAGGCAGGCGAATACAGTTGTTGGGGATGCCCGCGCTGCGCAAAACCCAGCCCCCCGAAACCGCTTCGCAACCGCAGAAAGGAAGAATGTACTTTCCAACAAGCCTAAACTCACACAACTTTGCACGAGTAATTCCAATCCCCCCTCCGCGATTGGAAGTCCTGAGTAGTACAGTACGGAAACAAGAATTTTTGCGCAAGTTGACCTGCTGTGAAAGAAATGATAGGAGAATCTGTTGGAAGCTTTCTGATGAAGGCACTCCTTTTTTACGCTCGATTTTGACTACTGGACGAGTGAACGCAGGAGTGATAAAGGAAGAGACACTGAGCGCGCGGGCGAGAGGCTAGATCACTGCAAAGGATAGAGCAGATGGAAGAGTTGCACAAGCAAGGAGGGCGGACAGACAGAAGAAGTGTGAGAAAACCAGACGTATGCCCCCAGCGTGCTCACCACGCACTATAGAGTGGCGAAGTGGTAAACGTTCTGCGAGTGCGGATCTGTTCGTTGCACTCCGGACGAGTGGGCGTGTCAAGGAGGCTGGATTTGGCGTGCCCCCAGCTCGTTCTACGACGTTCTTGAAGGGGATAAGCGACATCAGTTGGTTAAGGAGGCTTGGTGTCCGCCAAACCCATCCTTCCTGCACGCCCCATCATTCGCAGCGAACAAGCCTGTATACTCCACTCCGGTACTCCACAAATCAGGTACTTGCGAAATTATGTCTTTATTTACACTTACCAGTTCACTCGCCACACAAAATCATTTAGAATATTTAAATTGCACAATAGATGAATG